AGTATAATTAGTGTCAGTGCTTTGTGTTTGTGTAGAGTCAAGCATGTGATTTAAATTCTTGAGGAACTGACTTTACTGTCTTAGACTGAAAAAGGAGTAGTATATATTTTGCATGATAATTCTGCAGAGAATTTGGATAAGACCTACTTAATAAGTAAAAGTTATCTTTAGTAATAAGAAAATGTTGTATATATATTATGTTTTGCATTGACAAAATAACTTTACAGCCATTGCTGTCTATTAATTTTTTTTCACCCATGCTTGTCGTTTATCTTGTTTAAATATATTGCTGATTTTTTTTCCTGAATTAGAGGGAAGAATAGTGTAAAATAGTAGGATCTCATTTTGCAAACTTGTGTGTTTGAAAGAAATATTGAAGAACAGAACTGGTATTTTCAGAAAGCTTTAATAGTAATGAGGGCAGTTTAATATTTCTCTTTTACATCAGATTTTTACATCTGCTGCAATAGACTATGGAACCTAGAGAGAGTTTCATTCAACTGTGATGTCCAAAGCTGAGACAAGATTCTATTATATTAAACTTGTTTTTGCAAGTGCAGGGATCTGCCTATATGGTATAGATTACTGGACTTTGTTTCTTCAGACTTGTTTTATTAAATTCAAAAATAAAATTGAATGTTTATTATATTTTCCAACATTTTTCCTAAGTAATTACTTCAAGGTTTCATGACAAAAACAATGGAAGAACTCCTGATATTAAGTTGACATAACCTGTTAATATTATAAATAATAGTCTATGACTTCACACTACAGCTTCATTCTGTAGGTATAATTTTTTAAGGGAAATTATAATTAAAAAGAAACTTTTCAAAGAAACTTTTCTTTCTTATTAGGCCATATTGAGGAAGAACATATGCTAAGCAGCAGCACTAAAGAAATGCAATACAACACTTGGCAGCTGCAGTTCATCTAGACCCTTCTTGTTGGCTAGCATTCTGCTACAGAGGTTTCATACTAAGACAGATTGATCCAAAAGGAGCTGTGCAGGACTTCAGTGTTTCTGGTATTACTTGTTTATTTTAATGATGTGTATGCTTACCATTAAAAAGAGGAATGACCTTTTGCCAGTGATTGCTATACTGCAATGTAACACAGATATTTCATTTTACAAATATTGAAATGTATGGCTGTAATTTAATGTTTGGTAATAACTTGTTCCTTTTCGTTTCTCATAGAATCATAGAATGGTTAGAGTTGGAAGGGACCTTAAAGATCACGTTGCAACTCCCTTGCCACAGCAGGGACATCTTCCCCTAGTCCAGGTTTCTCAAAGCCCCATCCAACCTGGCGTTAAAACACTTCCAAGGATGGGGCATCCACAACTTCTGTGGAACTTCTTCTTTTATTAAGTTTGCTATTAAACATTGACTCTTGCTGCTGTTGTTTCTCTTCAGTTATTTTGCCTCTGCTTCCTAAGCTTTTCTGCTTCACTTTTAACAATTTGAGTGGGTGTAACAGAATTATAAATATGTCTTGAAGGTTAAACAACTTCTGTTATGATCTGTCATGTTATTGTTTGACTATGATATTTTATAAAAGTCTAAGAAAACCAAAGTAAAAAATAATGTGCAAATAAGTTGCATGGAGTAACTGAAATATATGTGAATATCTGAACATTGGTTTTTATTCTCCCTCTTCCACAGTCCTCATCAATGACACTCAGCAAAACTTCTGTTCTTCGTCGTGGGATTGTCTACTCAGAACAGTGTCAATGGTCACTGGCAATCTGTGACTTTGAAAGTGTTGTAGCTTTGGACAGGTGATTGGACTTACAAATTTTTAATAGATGCCGTTTATATTCTGATTACCTGTGGGCATGAAGGTACTAATAAAGAAAAATAGAGTCAGAACTGTTATTCTGCAAATAGACTGGAATTAAACCACACAAACCCATAATGTTTTCTTTTAGTATCTTTTGTCTCACTTACTACAGTCTGAGTATAATAAAAATAATTCTTAATGTATTTCAAAATTAAATTTTATTTTGCCTTACATGTCATCTTGGAAAAGAAATTTTTCGGTTTTAGCATACAAAGGATGAAGCTGAAGTTCTAATTAAAGTTGACTACCCATGCCATAATAATTTCATGTCTTCTTGGAGGGAATCTGTACACAATGCAGGTAAAAAGTCAAGCTTTTTTTTTTTGTTTTCTTTTGTTTTTTCTCCCTGAAAAGAAATGGCACAGTGATTTCTTTAGCAAAAATTAGCAAGTGTTGTCCTTGAAAAAAGAAGGCTGTTTGTGGCCCTTGATAGTTGGTGACTGGAGCTGGTATGATTTATCAGAATTGCATTTCTTCCTACCACTTAAAAATGCTTCAGAAATAGATTATATCTGTAGCAGTGATGCCATGCAAGTAGCCTTAAAATATGCCACAAGCATCCCATACCAGTTAGCTGCTTTAATTACCTTACTTTAAAAGTGCTGAGTTCTCATTCAGCCTCAGTCAACCTCAACAGTCCTGTTTTGAGCAAAGGCTTCCATTCCAATCTATGGCAGGCCTAAAGATCCCTCAGCTCTTCCTTTGTCTTGGTTGTGCTATAGGCAGTCTTGAATTTTGCAAGAGTGGGCTGCACAAAATGTTGCAGATCTTGGAAACACAGCTCTTCCTAGCATCTAGCCAAGTGAAATGACAGAAAATAAAGGAGCAGGCTAGATGGAAAATGTGTAAGCTCTGTCAGTCTTTTAAAACTTCAGTGTCTTTTTAGTGTTGAAAAATTCAGTATTTCTCTGTGTATTCAAGTATATACAAAATTATCAGCTAGCTCTTTCTAGCCCAGCTTCCATGCAGAGACGTCATCATTTCTTCAAAATTCACATTTGGACTGCTGTTTTTGGTGATCAGAAAGCCTCCAGTGTCCAGCCAAACATCACAAGCTACTGAAATTATGTCTTTAATCAGCTATCTCTTCTGCTGGCAATTAAAATTCTGTAGCTCAGTGTGATAACAAAATAGATGTGTGGAAAATGTCATAAAGCAGATGAAGCCTGTATAAGTTGTGGTTAAAACAGTGACATATTTCATGCAATAACAAAAGGAAAAAAAATCTGGTTTCAGCTCTGTCACCTTTGCTTACCTAAATATTGGTTTGATACTGCTGGTGCATCTCAATCGATGCCATGAATCTATTCAACAGTTTACTAATGTCAACAAAATAGATCCTCTCAATGTGAAGGCCTACGTATGCAGAGCGCAAGCGTATCATAAGTAATACATTCCATTTGCTTCTGTTTGTCACTTAAAGTAGCTTTATTTATATTTATGGTTGTATTTTAATACCTGTGCCTTGGTGTTATGCAGATGTCAGAACCTGCTTATAGCTGTAGTTTCAAATAGTCCTCAATACCATAATAGAATCACATACATTGCAATTGTGAAATATTGTTGGCATGTAAATGCAATGACAAAAATATTTCAAGTGTCATTTTTATATTTTCTATATCTGTGTACACATAATCTGAGCTGTAATTTTTTTTTAAATATATTTTCTAACTATTTAAAAAATTGTATTATTTAAAAGTCTCCTCCACCCAGTTTTGAAGTACAATGTTTTCTAAACAGAATTTTCTTGAGAATACTAATTTTTCAGGAAATTCAAATTTTCAGTATTTTAATTTCATGTAAACCAGCATGTATTCTACTTCTGCAGAGGATTTGAGAATATTTTCTGTTAGCATTTGTTTTTCTGTGACGCTCTCAGGATGTCCTGGGTTCAGCAGTAGCAGTCATGTTTTTCCTTTGTGGTAGCTGGTGCAGTGCTGTGTTTTGACTTCCAGCCTGAGAACAGTGTTGGTGAAGCCGATGTTTTCGGTTGTTGCTAAGTGATGTTTACCCTGACCAAGGACTTTGTGAGGCTCATGCTCTGCCAGGGAGGAGGGGAAGCTGTGAGGAAGCAGAGACGGGGCTCCTGACCACATACCACAGCACATCATGGCCGGGGTGGGGGGTAACTGGGAGTTAGCCGGAAGGACACGGGATTCCGGGTGGAGCTCGTTTTCTTGGCCGGTGGTATCGTATTCTCTTCCCTTGTTATTTTCTCTTATCATTGTTTTAACTGATAGTAGCGGTGGTGATTTGTTGCTGGACTGTTCTTGTCTCAACCCGTAGGAGTTGCACTCTCTCGATCCTCCTCCCCGTTCCTCCGGGAGCGGGGAAGGGGAGAGCCCCGGTGCGGGGGGGGGACACACGGACCTCGATTGTTGTCAGCTCAGCACCACTCACTGGGAGTGAGTGAACAAGTTACCTGACTGGGTTTAAACCACGACACAGGAGTACCAGGAATGGAGTTTTCAGTGTGACCTGATTTCTGTAGATTTCATTTGCAGAAACCAAACAACTATCTCATAGTGCTTAGTTTGTTTTCAAAATGTTTTGATAAGTTGCTTGCGCTGTTCATTTTCTTCCACAGCTAAAGGAAATGGCTTCTAACTTAGAGTCCATTTTTGTGGATTGACGTTATTATTTTTTTTTGGCAGTGTGTGAACTTGTGCCTGATAGTCTATACTGGAGGCCGTCCACTAATGATCAGGTTGATTTGTAGGGTTGTTCTTTGTTTGGGTATTTTGTTTTTTGGCTTTTTATTTATTTATTTTTAAAATTTCAATGTAAAGCAGTAAAATAAAAATAAACAGTAAACAGACACATTGCATCAATGCTGTTCTTTAATGAGAGTTTGAGTTAGCAGCTATCCCAACTGGATGAATCAATCTTTGGAATCTTTACTCTAATGACCTCCTTTCTCCTCAGCATCTGAAGTACACTGAATGGGACCACATGCACAGGCACCTGAAAAATAAATGCAAAGTCATTACAGCAGTGAAGATTTATCAGGACATACTTGCATGACCTAATCTCATTCCCAAAAGTCCGAAGTTTTCTTTAGATTCTGGAAAAGTAAAGAAACTGTCTCGAGTTTGGACCTGCCTTGAGGAAGAGTATGGAAATAGGTAGGGTAAATGTTTCAGACCTTTATCAAAAGCATGTCGAGCTCCTTTACAGAGGCCGCATGTGCCTTGTGAGTTGCTACCATGAGGACATTGCACCCTTCAGAACCACATTTACAGTAACAAGAATTGTGTCTGCAAATTGTATTCGTATTGGCAATTAAATTGCTGTTTTTTTCTTTATGAATTACAGATACATAATTTTTCAAATGCTTTGAAGGATATAAACTGAACCATTCATCTTTATCCAAATAAATCATAACTTTGCATATTAAGGTAGGGAAGCAATTACTTGAGAACTTCACAGAGGTCTCACTTTAAGAAAAATAATGATTTGGAATGCTGTTGGTGGGTACTCTTGTATTGTTTGAAACCTGCTCTGAATGGGTTTAAAAAACTGTAGTATTTTCATCGTGCTTTTAAACCTGAAGAACTTCATCTGTATAATGCCACACAACTACTGTAATTGTTATCATGGAGGAAGGAATCATATTTCACATACAGGATTCTGCTCTTTGAGGCACATATATTTTCTGGGGGAAAGGAAGTAAATAGCCATGACAAAAAAGCAAGTCTGAACTTTTAAAAATACAATAATTTTCAATGTTTTGCCCGAGTGGATGGGTCCGTCACTGTTTTGTCTGCAGAATCCACATAATGCAAAGAATGTGAAGGACTGAGTTCAGGGCAGTTTAGATTTGAACTATTCTTCCTCATCTTCAGCTCCGTTAGTAGTGACTTTTACCAAAGTAAAAATAAGTTACTAGATAAAGCTGTTTCCTTCCCTGAAAAGGTGTAAGAACTAAGGAGGAAATGCTAGGATATTATTCATCATCTGTATTAGGAGAATTAGTTACTCTGTTCCAGTCAATAGCACTGTATTTTTCCAATTTTAAGAGTGGGTTTGCTCATCTTGTCTCTCAGAATGTGGCTAGCATGACCTCTTATACTGATGCTGATACCAGAAAAGGCAAAAAAGTGTCCTTGAAAACAGAATGTATCTATCAGCTCTCAGTCTGTAGTGGATTTTAGAAATAGTATAAAGATTACTGTTGCAGTTCTTGAGATTTTAAAGATTACTGTATGTGGAATACAAAGAAAAGGAATTTTTTAACTCCTAAAGTTTGAAGAGAGGTAAGCATATAACTCCTTGGTACTGTGATGTGAGAGAAAAAATTAAAAACTGGACAGCTATTTTTGGTTAAAAAACAGAAAAAAAAGCAAGAAAAAACTTCGAATGTTTCTTATTGGAAGGCATTAATTTTCCTTTTTATCTCTTTATACTAGTGAAAGCTTATTTCACTAGCATTTGCACTTTGAAAGAAATGCCTGGAAATAGTTTTACTGATTACATTCAGCAAATATTCCATTACAGGAGACAGTATTTAATGGAATTGAAGAAATACCAGCTGGCAAATTTATGAATTCATCAACTTGCAGAAATGCATGAAAGTAACATCAATTTCCATCCATTTTCCTAGATAGTTGCGAACCATGGCAATTTTTTTACAAGGACTTGTGGAAAAAAAAAAAGTTCAGGCATGCAAATAGGTTAGTTACCATGGATCAGCTAAAATATAGGAACTTATTATCTAGAGTATTTTTCTGCATGTCTGAAGCCTTTGAAATGTAACAATGCTATACACTTTTGCCTGTGTTGTCACCTGTGATTTCAGAATTTCCTTTATCTTTTGAATTCTGTTTTTTTATTTCTTACTTTCAATATCGGTAATTTCTGCTTTAAAGGAATATTGAGTAAGTTTTCTGTTCTGTACTTATGTACAGTCTTTTCTAACAAAATATCACATATCTTTAGAACTGAACCTTCCCAGTGCACTTGAACTGTAAAGATGTTGCAGTATAGTAGTTCCTTGTTATGTGCTGGGCATAAAATGTTTGTGTTCAGTGTGTCCTGTAGCTCTTGGTGAATCCATGTGAATAGCCATACTGTATGAGATTAATTTCCTGTCTCTTGTAGTAACCAAGAGTGGATACACAGAGCACAATAATATAAAACTAAAGCAGACGTATGGTGATACTTCCACAGAGCAAAGCCTTCTTAGTTGTGGGGAAACGAACGTAAATATTTGCAGATGTTTAGCAATCAAACTGTGCTTATTGATAAATAACTTCATCTTCAAACTTTTGCAGAAATTTAGTTTGCATTTGTTGTCTTATGGATGTTAAAACAAGCTTTGATACTCCAGATGTTTTAATAGCATTTTAAAGTATCATTTAAAAGTATTTTATACCGGAAAACATATGATGTAAAAGAAATTATTGTTTTTCATGATGGTTTCTTTCCAGAACCCTTTGCATCTCAGCATATTCAGCAAGCACTGAAAATCACAAGAAGGCCATAGAGTGCTTATTGGAAGCTACTGCTACTCAACTTGAGCCTCCAATGTTTATTGTGTTAGGAGAAATACAAATGAAAGCCAAGCAAACTGAGGTTAGAAAAGTTTATATATATATGCCAAGCAAGACAATGTTTTTCTTTCTGTTTTATTTTAGTATTTTATGAAATGTGCTTGTATATAAATACAACTTCAGAGAATCTAATTGATTAAATTATAAGATCTGAGTAAGAATTTTCAACAACAGCAGCTTGCATCAAAAGAATGACCAACAGGTCAAAGAAGGTGATCTTGCCCCTTTGCTCTCGTGAGACCTCACTTGGAGTATTGTGTGCAGTTCTGGTGTCCTCAACATAAGATGGACATAGAACTGTTGGAGCAAGTCCAGAGGAGGGCCACGAGGGTGATAAGGGGGCTAGAGCACTTCCCATATGAAGACAGGCCGATCAAGTTGGGGCTGTTCAGCCTGGAGGAGAGAAGGCTGCATGGAGACCTCATGGCAGCCTTCCAGTATCTGAAGGAGGCCTACAAGGATGTGGGAGAGGGACTCTGAATCAGGGACTGTAGTGATAGGACAAGGGGTAATGGGTTCAAACTTAAACAGGGGAAGTTTAGGTTAGATATAAGGAAGAAATTCTTTACTGTGAGGGTGGTGAAACACTGGCACACGTTGCTCAAGGAAGTTGTGAATGCTCCATCCCTGGCAGTGCTCAAGGCCAGGTTGGATGGAGTCTTGAGTGAAACGGTTTAGTGTGAGGTGTCCCTGCCCATGGCAGGGGGGTTGGAACTAGATGATCTTAAGGTCCTTTCCAACCCTAACTATTCTATGATTCCATGATTTTATGATTTGAGCTAATCAATTAAAAGGTACAGTTACGTAGATTGAGATCCATTATATATCATAATTTTGCTTCTTTTGAAATAAAATAATACAGAAGTATGCCTAGCATTTTTGTCTAATAAAGTGCAGTACAAAAGTTTGATTCTAGTTTGTGATTGTATAGTTACAGGTATTTTCTGAACTTCATGACTATTAATATGTCATAAAGCAGTATGTACCTGTGGGCACTGGTATTTCAAACTGGTACCTCTAAACAAATACTTCATCTTGAAAGACCCACTTAAGAAAAAAATGCTATTATTCTTTTACCTAAATATCAGTATAAATGAACTGTACATTATTTCTAGATCCTGTACATTAGCTACTTTGTCATATATAAACAAACCTCAGAAATGTTTCTGGTTTTCTAATCAGTTATTAATATGAACCATTCAGAGATCAGGAAAGTGTCTAACTCCAGCAACATCAAGGAACAATAGATTAATAGTTTTACCATGATGTTCGAAAGAAAGACTAAGAAAAAGCCATTTTCAATAATTCAAAATGTCTAGCAAACCTTGCAGGTTTTCAGTTAAGTGCTTTATAACTACTAATACTCTCTGTTTTGCAGGATGCTGAGATAAGTTTTAAAAAAGCTATGAAGCTCCTGAAGACCTCAGCAAAAAAACTGCCTAATACGTTTGAGGCTGCAGAAATGTATTATCATCTCACAGGTCTGTGCTACATGGAACAAAAAAGGTTATTAAGGGTGGTATTAATTATGTAGACTATATTAGCCTTTAATTCAACTGCTGTCAAAATTGTCAGAAATATCTAATACAGTAATACATGACAATTGCAAAAGGTTACTTTCTGTGTTAATGTACATTTGATATTACAGCTGTAGATCCTGGAAAAGCCTGTGACTTTGTAAACTAATGTACAATGTAGAGGAAGCAACTATCTGGATGGATTTTAAAGGAGTTGCAATCTAGCCATATTAATCCATTATCCATTCCAAGAAACAACTTCAGTATTTCAGCTCTTACAGACAGAAGACCATGTGATTGGTTAAAAATTTTAAGTCTCACTGCAGAAATGAGATGAATTAAATGAATTAGATTGTGCCTCCATGAAGTTATGATTACATTAGTTGTTAACTAATTGCTAAACATTACAAAATTTTAAATAGCAGTAGATGGATGAAAGTAGTAAGAAACAATGCAGGTAGATGGTGGGTTCCAGCTGCAACAATAGGTCACACCTAGCTGTGCAAAAGAATCAGTTAGGCTGTGGTTTCAGCTGAACAAACAGACCATATTTAACCCAGGTAATGTTTCATCCTTTTAGGCCTGTGATGCTTTTAGTATGGCTATCAGACTACATTCAAGTTACCCTGATGCTTGTTATCCGCGAGGGCTGTGTAGAATGCATCTTGGACCAGCTAAGTGCATCCAAGACTTCAAACACTTGCTTATTGTCCATCACACTTCCAGGTAATATAAAGATTCATGGTTGTGTGAGGCATTTTGGATGGGCTCAAAGACTGTCATGTTTTGCATTTATGGGTGTATTGTCTTGTAATCTGCTATCAAGCACAAGGCAAACATTAAATAAATTACAACAAGCTTTGTAAGATGTATGGTTTTATAAACTTGTAATTTCTGTCTTCTGCTTAACCTTTGTTTTATAATGCTAAGTAAATCTATTTTTTGAGCATGTCATCATTCTGTCTTCATCTCTACAGGCATATATGAGTTTTGCTGCTTACTATGGAAGTAAAGGTAGATACTCTAAGGCAATTCTGAATTGCAGTGAGGTGATCAAAATTCTTCCTAACAGTGTGCAAGCGTATTTTTACCGAGGAACTTTAAAGTGTCAAAATAAGGCAGGACTGTCTTTTATTGTTGTACTTTGAAATTCTCCCTTAAAGCTTGGCACTTTTAAATGGTGAAATAATGGTAAAAGTATTGCTGATAGAAACCAGGAATTCCCCTTGATAATGATACTTTCCATTCCCCACTGAAGCTTCTTTCTGATTGTTCTGTGTAACTGAAAATGCTTGATGGGTTAGAGAAGCTACTGAGCACCTTTCTGGTTATTCTCTTCTTAAATTCCACAGAATAAATTCTTAGACAGAAGTACCAAAACTCCACAAAAGATATGTTTTATGTTAGGTAAAGATAAAATGTAAGCTAGTAAAATTAAAGATTGATTAGATATTGTAGTATATGGATATGATGTGATAAAACCCTAAGAATGTTTGCCTAGACTTTGCACAAACAGAGCTTCTGAAGTGCTCCCACTGTAGTAAGAAATGTGGTAAGTAGTCCATAGATGTCATAGTGAAATGGTTGAATGCCTTCCACTGCTCATGAAGAATCAAAATGTAAACCTATGAAATAAAATTTTACAATAGGCTATTATTTGAGGAAGAATATGTAGTGCTATGAACTCTGTGGTTCAGTGGTTTTTTATTTTCAGACATTTAAAGCTGCAGTTGAAGACCTTTCAAAAACTATTGACCTCAACGAAATCTGTGTTTTGGCATATTATAACAGAGCTGTCTGTTATCATCAAATAAAGGACTTCAGAGAGGTATGGTATTACTTTTTTATCAACATTACATGAACACTTGGTTGTTCATATTAGCTACTAACCTGTTATTAGCAATTAGTCAGAATTTCTGACCTCTTGCAATGTCTTTGTGAATGGTTGTGCTCTTCAGAAAATTGTTTTTAATAATGGCTTTTTGATCTCTATTATCATACACTTGATATCCTTTTGAAAATAAAATAACTCTATCCAGAAGCAGACTACATCAAAACAGGAATTTGGACCACATAGAAGCCTTATTCACAACCCTGTTTTTCTGGATGTATTTTATACTTCTGTCAACTTACCTGTGAGCTATGTCTGAGTGTTTCTGATTTCTACTTTTATTATAAAGTAAGGGCACAATAGGGCACACTAAGGCACTGTGCATCTTCAGACTTGGGAACACAGTGATGCTGAACTGTCTTTTTGATGAGGCCTATTTTGTGAGACAATGCTAGTTCATAAGTATTTCAGCTCGAATGTCTCAAGTCAAATCAACCTTGTGCAAAGGCAATTTGTTCTTCGAGGTTAATTGGCAAAGAAGGATGCAGATGGGTAAATAAAATAGGTGATTACAGTAGCTGAAAGCAGAAGTTTAAGGTGTGAAAATATTAGTTCCTTCATAAATAAGGTATTGTAAAAGTTGGTTTCACTCTTCAGAAAAGCCACTTAAAGTTCAAAGAAAGTTGCAGAAAAAAGGTAGTACAGAAAAAAATTAGTAAATCTAACAGGAATGGGATTCTTAAAGCTGTTTGTAATACCTAACTTAGTTTAGAAGTGACAAAGAAGAGAACTTAAGTGGCTAGTATATGGAATACTACAGTCAAGGACATTTTTATCGTATTAGCTCTAAACTGTCCAGTTATTTGTAAATATAATATCCGAGTTTATTCTTCAGATGAAAAAAAAAGAAAAAGATTTGTTCTAGAACTTCTTCAGATCAAGCATTGTTGAAATACTCTTAGTTTTGCTAAATTTGAAAAGTGAGGCTTCTTCAGTCTACCTGGTCATGTCACTATTTGCTCTTTTACAGAATTTACACTCAAATTTAGTTAATACAAGTAGAGCTTAGATTTTTCAAGCACAATAAATTATATTTGAAGATACTGAATTTTTAAAAAAGGGTTTTACTTTGACATTAATTTATATAAATTGGAAGAAATAAGATATGCATTAATATCTTAGTCTATTTATCGTAGTGGCACTTGAAGTTAATAGCTCCTATTTCATACAAGTATCACCTATGATGAAAAGTAAATCTTAATAGCTATATAATATTAGTCTAATCTATTTTGTTCTGCAGTTACTCAGCCTTCTACCATTGCTTAACCTTGTTGCTGCTGAGGCAGTGTGGAGGTGGACACATTCAGGACTGCAGCATTAAAACTTCCTGTGTACTATGTAGTTAAGGCATAACCAGCTCCATCTTTCACAGTGTCCAGATGATGTAGAACTTGCACAGGAATGGTGAATCCTGATTCTAAGAACTGAAGATATGATTTTTTTGTGCCCATGTCTTTACTCATCCGTCAAAGGAGTCACTAGTAACTCTATAGCTCACCTGTGTAACTCATTTTAAGATGCCTTTGGAATCTATCCTGCAGTCTCTAACAACATGACTACCTATCAACAGGGTTGGAATGAAGCCCTAATTTGTATTTGCAACAAGTGTGCTTTTAAAAACCTTCAGGTAGCTTATATTCAAACACTATCAGTATCAACTTGGTAAAACAATTTTTGTACTTTGACATGTTAAAGTTTATGCTTTGTATGAAGATACTTACTAACGTTCATTGACTTTTCAGGTATTTAATCTTTTTTAGACCTACTCAGTATACCTCAGTTGCATATTTAAGGATGGAGTTCCACATTTGTCTTACTCTTAGAGTAGAATGGTCTATGCTCAGAACTTTGAATATTATCTCTTTTTACTCCATATATTTAGCATGGTTTGGATATGTTAATGAATTGGTGTGTGAAAAAGCAGAGAGAAGGCTTGTATTAGAAGTAAATTATTTATGGTTGAAACATCTATGCCTGAAGAGACTACCAAAAACAATGTTTGGTAATGACATTTGGACAGCATGAATGATTCGGGTAAAGTATCTCTGAGTACAACTGTTGAGAAGATGAAATCTTGGCCTACTTTTGCTGTTTTCTTCCTCAGGCCAAGGAATTCAAACTGCAAGGTCTTACACTGATAACTTTCACTGTTATAGCTATTAGTGAGCTCATACAGAATGCAAACTTAAGGAAAAGATATCCTTTTCAGTCAGAATTAAACTACTTTTGAGTGGCGTGGTACTTGCTGATCATGCATAAATTGAGAATTTTATTTACAAATTTTTTTTTTAAACAGCAAACATCAATGTCTCTATTTTTAGTCTTCATGAGTTTGAAGAAGCTGTGACATCATTTGACCAGGTTCTCAAATTAGACCCTGTTTTTGTGGATGCCTATGTTGGAAGAGGAAATTAGTACATGGAAAAAGGGGATGAGGCTGGTTGTAAACAAGCACAGAAAGATTTCTTGAGAGCAGTTCACCTGAATCCAAAGTGCATAAAAGCTAGAATTTTCTTATGATACAACTTGCAGGTAATACACCATAATTCATTGTCAATGCTTTTTTAAAATAACAAACAAATCAACAACCTTATATGCATACACATACATAAAATAATTGTAACAAACATAAAATAATCTATGTAATTTAGACAAGCCTTATGGCATCTTTTATTCTAAGTAAATTAATAAACCATTATTTTCTTTTCACTTTTGTGCCCGGTCTTGGAGTTCTGCTCTCGAATAATGGATTATCAAGTAACCTTACACTCGTTTGATTTGCAGATACTGTTCTCTGTCATGGTTTAAAACCAGTCAGGCAGCTTGTTCACTTACTCCCTTCCTTCTTGGCTTCCCCCATTCCTGGAGGGATAGGAAGGAGAATCAAAAGAATGCAACTCCCAGGTGTTGAGATAAGAACAGTTTAGTAACTGAGGTATAACACAAACCACTACTGCTACCACCAATAATAACAATGATAAAGGAAATAACAAGGGAAAAGAATATATCACCTCAGCACCAGCCGACTGATAACTCGCCCCCCCATCCCAACCAAGCACCGACCGATACCACCTCCAACCCTGCAGTGTACCAGCCCTTCCGGGTAACTCTCAGTTACATCCTGGGCATGACGTGCTGTGGTATGGAATAGCTCTTTGGTCAGTTTGGGTCAGGTGTCCTGTCTCTGCTTCCTCCTGGCTTTCCCTCCTCCCTGGCAGAGCATGAGGCTCAGAAAGTCCTTGGTCAGACTAAAACATCGGTGTTATCAGCTCTGTTCCCAGGCCAAAAGTCAAAACACAGCGCTGCACCAGCTACTAAGAAGGAGAAAAAAATGACTGCTACTGCTAAACCCAGGGCAGTTCTCTGATAAAATAACATGAGGAACTGGGGTATTTTGTGTGTATGAGTAAAAAGCAGCCAAAGTGTTGATAAGTCTGTGTAAAACAAAATCTTATATGTCCAAATTATCCAAACTGTTACGAACGGATTTTAGCTGATTTGCTGGAGGCCTTATAGTTAATTATCTCTGAAAACTACTTACCCACATAGAAAATAAACAGCTGAATCAGGAAAGGGATTTCTGATGTGACTTGACAGTTTTTGTCTGTGTCTAATTTCTGTCCTTTAGTTACTGTGCTTTATTATATCCAGTTGTGTGAAATGTCTTGAATTGTCATGAATTTTGTTACAAATTATTTTTTTGCCAATGTAAACAAGAGACTAATGCTTGTTAGCCTGTGTCATGTAGTCTTGCATAGGTGTCATGCCCATTACCTTTTACAGCTTTGCCAATTCATTTGAATTCTAACTAATGATTTCGCAATGCTTTTGGGAAGTATTGTGCAAGAGGAAAAACCTTGAATTGACTACATTGGTGAGTAGGTAAGAATAAGATGTAGGTAGGAATTAGACATCTTAGGTGCAGGATGCAACCCAGAAAGTTCACATAGTGGTACATGCTTAATTTCTGAGAGGTCTAAACCTCAGTAGACACCTTTTCTTAAACCTTGTTGTACCTACTGGGGCTTAAACCTAGACACGTGAAGTATTTTGATGTGGGGTACTAGGTGAATTGCTTTTCACATTTTCTCAATTAATATATATATTAAGAAAATGTTTAAATTTTGCCTGGGGTCCCAAGTGGCCTACTTGCCCCGAATTAAGCACTTTTTTGACTGTGCTAAGTCCTCATAAGGTACAGTATACCCAAGTTCCATTTGACTATTCAGGGAAGGTACTTCAGCTGAACTTCCTGGTTTAATTTTATTGCTATATGAAGTCAAATATATAGGTCTTCAGATCACAAGCTCATATATAGCCCATGAAGAGCTGAATCTTGTGAGGGACATGAAGGTCAACAAGAAAGGCTTCTGCAAGTACAAAATGAAAATTAGGGACATGTGGACCTGATGCTGAATGTGACTAGGGATGCAGTGATACAGAACATGCAGAGATACTCAATGCCTTCTTCACCTTGGTCTTTATGGGTAAGATTGTCTTTCAGGAATCCCAAATCCCTGTGGCCAGTGGAAAAGTCCAGAGCAAGGAAGACTTAGCCTTTGTGGATATGAGGCTAGGGAACACTTAAACAAAGTGAACATACATAAATCCATGGGACATAACGGAATACACCTGCAAGTGTTGAGGAACTAGTCAACATTACTGTGAGGCCACTCTCAATTACCTTTGAAAGGTCATAGCAATTGATAGAGATTCCTGAAGAAAGAAAGAAAGTAAATGTCACTCTTATCTTTCAGAATGGCAAGAAGTAGGATGTGGGAAACTGTAAGAAGGTCAGCCTATTAACTCATGAAGGATGAAGGTGATTTAGAGTAGTTTGCATGAGTTTGTGAAGGAAAAATCTTGCTTAATGAACCTGATAACCAACCTTCCTACCTCCCTCCCTCCCTCCCTCCCTTTAATTCTACATGGTTCTGGGCAACCTGCTCCAGCTGACCCTGCTTTGAGCAGGGGTTGGCCTAGACGGTCTCCAGAGATCCCTTCCAAACTCAACCATTTGATGATTCTGTGATGTAGGATAGGTAATACTTGCAGTTAAAGCAGTCATGACAGATTAATTACATATTGCACAGTTAACAAAATATGAAAAAATAACAAGATATTTGTTTTTTTTTCATTTGTTATTCAGTCAACTAAGTTTGTAAATGTAAGTGTACTTCCATTCTCTGCTGTAGTTTAAGTGGGACCCTTAGTAAGTCTGGCTTTTCTTATGTTTCTTATTGTGGCTTCATTGCAATTCATTTTAAGCCCTTGGAAAGCTTCAGAGAGCATGGAGCCAATTTACAGTTGCCATTTGCATTGATCGAAAATGCCATGCTGCATATGCTGGATGAGTTTCAGTCTGTCTTCAAAGGGGTGAAACTTTTACTGCATTTCAAGATACAGGTACTGCAGTAAAGGTAGATGTTAGCTTAAATCAACCTGTTGCTGTGAAGCCAGCCAATACTGTACATTAATAGTTGCCAATTAGGATTAGAAGGTGCAATTATTATCTTTTTTTAAAAGTAAATTTATTTTTGAAAGCCAGAATAAATTACTATAGAAGTGTAAATTTTCCCTGAGTAAAAGGTCATCTACATTTCCCTTTCAGCTCACTACCACTGCTTCACTGCTAACAAATAGGGGTGTCATCAAACAGTTAATGGGATATCTGTCCTGTGCCATGAAGGACTATCAACAAGCAATTTCTGCTGACCCAAACTATGCATTAGCCTATTTCAATGCAGCAAATATCTACTTCAATAATCAACATTTTTCACAAGTATGTCTACAGTCTGTCTTTATACTGTCTTCAGAATTTTTTTTCTTAAATAAATACTGATGGTACGAAGCTGTCTTTAAGTATAATTAATATGAAGCTTTCTTACTTTCAATTTCATAGTTCTCATGAATTAAATTGAAATAACTAATAATAAAAAATTATCCTAGTACTATGTATTTTATCATTGGCATGAATGAACTGAGATTCATGACAGACATGGTACACATCACAAAAGTTTGTAAATAATTGAGATGCCAAAATCCCACTGATGTTCAGTAACTTCCCACCAGCCTAACTCCCATACATTAAATAATTTGTCCAGGTTTACTATAGCATCATGACAAGGAGAATGAAAAGAATCTCCTGCTGATGAACTGGAATCAAGAAGTCAGATTTTCCTCCTATTATCACAGTAACGTGAGTTTTAAATCACCTAATTTTACTTAATTATGGTGGGTATCTTCAGATAGAGAAGATACTGAAATTCTCTTGTGAGAGAATTTGAAATCTGCTTGAAGACAAGGACCATTTATTTTAATCCATGTAGGGAAGCCCCTGCAATGATTTCTTCTTTTGTCTTCTAGTCACATTTCCTGGGCATAGGCTCAGGCTTTTATTTGATTAGAGCTTTGCAGTCCAGCACCTGTGGAAACCCAGAACCAGTATGAATGTTTCAGCACATTTCGTCTAGTGGAATTAATTTTCTCCTAAAGTTGCACCTGTAAACACTTCAGCTTGCAGTTCATTTATTAAGGAATCCATCACATATAGTACAGGATTGGCATACAATTTTAAAACTAGCTTCTACTTCATACAGCGCCAGAAATAGATCATGTAAGAAAATATTTAATACTCATACATGTTTCTCTGTTAATTTTTTTGTTGCTCTTATGCATTTGTTAGACCAGAAATTCCTTAGGAATGCATGGTCAGTGCCCTACATATGGCTTCTTCTGTGATCTCTTATCCACCTGGTATCATTCTTCCATGACCGGCCTTGCGTAGGCTGTTCTTCCTCTTTACTATGTTTCCATGACTCCTTATAGTCCCAAAGAGGCTGTCTAATAGTGGGGAAATTTGCTGTTGCATTATAAACATGTTAATTCAAATTGGCCTTAGTGTATAGCTTATTTATTCCTGCTATAAGTACACTTTAGGATAAACAGCAGAAAGGAAGGAATAACCCCACAAGGGATTACTGAAAAAAATCCCAAGTGATGCACAGAACAATTGTTCACCACCTGCTGACCGATACCTAACCCTTCCCTGAGCAGTGATTGGCCCTTCTGACCAACTCCCCACAGTTTATATACTGAGCATCATCTTCTGTGGTATGGAATAGCCCTTTGGCAAAGTAGGGTCAGCTGCCCTGACTGTGCTCCCTCCTGGCTTTTTGTGCCCCTCCTCACTGGCAGAGCATGAGACTGAAAAAATCCTTGATCAGGGTAAGCACTACTTAGCTACAAATAAAACATTGGTGTGTTATTGTTATTTGCAGACTAAAGCCAAAACACAGCACTGCACCAGCTGTTGCAAGAAAATTAACTCTAGCCCAGCCAAAACTAGGATGACAAGTTGTACAGAAATCATTTCCTCAATTTTTAACAGCATACTTTATCTCCAATTCATGTGTTTTGCAGGCTTATTGCTATTATTCCAAGGTATTAGAACTTGACCCAAGAAATGAATCTGCTGCTATAAATCGTGCTATTACAAATACATTGTTGAACAATACTGAAGAAGCAAAAGACGACTTTGAGAAAGCAATTTGTCTCTGCCATTCTCTGCAGCAGTGTATTTTAACAGGGCTAATTTCTATAATGGATTGAAGCAATATGTACGAGCTGAGAAAGACATTTCAACAGGTAAATCTGTCATGATTATGTTTGGTAACATACTAACAGTTATGATAATAAATTATTTGGCTCTCTTTTATGACTCAGAAAGTATATGTGTATTTTTGCTTGTATATTCTCCACCTAATTTGATCAGATATTATGATGTGATTAAAAAGAGAAAGTTAAAGTAAACATACTAATTGTGTTTTTTTTTTCCATTTTCAAAATAGGAAGAATATGTGAATTAGGCAATAAGCTATTTCATACAATGTGTGTCATTAGCAGTTAAACAAAGCCCTATTCTGAATGAAATTTTGGCAAGAAGCTATGGGAAAATACTAGAGTTACCGAGTCTGAAAACTTTTTGTCAGTTTTTGTGTGTATGTGTTAAGAGCTCTAGGTGCTTAGAAACTGGAATTGAAGTAGCTTATTTTATATATAAACATGAAATATAATGAATGTGCTCTTTGTAGAACAAGTTTTGAAACAGTATTTGGCTTCCATAAGCTTTTCTGCTGAGAATACAGAAATGGTTCATAGAGAAAAGGAACTGAATCAGACTTTCATCTTGAAATTAGTAAAACCCAAACTTTTTGTTCATGTTTGAAACAGCTAAGCTGTATTTCTCTATTGCTTCTTTTGTCATTGCTATTAACATGAAATTCAGCCCCTCTGGATACACAGGCAAACTTCTTCCAGTAACTAAAGCTATGTTTAGTTTGTATTGATTTTGTTGAAACAAAATTTTGTAATATGACCTTGGTTTGACAGCACTTGATTAAACAGGTAATTGATTTAAAAAAAAATTTCTCTCTAAAGCAGAATTTTAAAACAGCAGAGTAATCTTTCCGTCAAGTGCAGAAACCCTTTCTATACAGTGGAGAAACTCAATAAGATACTGGGTTCATTGCCATGTTCCAGATGAATGGTGGTAGTTTTCTTCTCTTGCTTGTGTTTCAGAGGAAAGCATAGTTTCTGCTGTCAGGGCAAAATTAAAGTGAGAGTCATAAATGGCATCAGAAAGAGGAAAAAATTCCAAGTATAAATAATATAACAACGTTGCCTACATCTTGATGTAGTTAATGCATGTAATATGTTTTCTCTTCTGAAAGCCTGACTGGAGAAGAATTTGGACAATGACAAAAGTTTTTGGATATTGTTTATAGTTATATGATCATGTTGTGTGTTTTTTTGTTTTTTTCTGGTTTTTTTTTGTATTTTTTTTTTGTATTTTTTGAAGAGGCCTAACATTCTACTTATTTTTACAGCCTTGTCTATTCAGCCTAATGATGCTTTGATGTATAAATTTAGAGCTGGTATTTGTAGTAAATTGGGTTTCACTAAAGAGGCTGTAGAAGACTACAAACAAGCAATCATCATTCAAGAACAGATTGATTCCATGTGGAAAACACCTGTTTTCATGCCACTTGGGTTCTATTTACGTATTTCTCAGACCTCTAATTAAAAAAAATCCAACATGCAAGAAACATATCTTTATTTTCAGATATTCTATGCAGATTTTATATTTATAAATAATATAATTACCTTGATTGTGCAAAACTAGCAAGAGTTATTTAAGAATAGAATGTCACATTTAATTTTTATGAGGTAGATGGTTCTTTATTTGTTAGTGTCAAGAGATAATTGGATGCATACAAAAATGAAAGAGAGAAGAGAAAATAGGGAAAAGACCTCAAGAGTACTAGTTATAGAAAGATAAGAGACTACACTCCCACTTCTCTCCCAAATATAAATGCTTACAGTGGTGCTGATTATATGTCACCTGGACCATTTGTGAAAAATTCTAAGAGCTACCAAATGTTCATGATTGCTGACTAGGTCTCACTTTCTTCCTGATCTTCCACCCATACCTTTTCATGAAATTTCCTGTTCCCTGTCATTCACATGGTAGGGGAAAGCTATTGTGCAAGGTCCATTCCCTGCAGTGCATGAGAACTACTCTGAGAACTGAAATTTGAGAAAGACATGATTCAGTTTGTGAGTAAAAGACTGAGGTTACTTGCTGCCACTTAAATATATTACAATGTGCCATCTTGAAGAGAGAGGTAAAAATGTATAAATAACAGATCATAGTTTTTGTGTTCTAAGTTGTAAGGATGGGTTTAAGAGCAGGCTCTTGCCTAAACACAGAGATTGAAATGTGACCAAAATTTAAAAATTGCCAAGCCCTACTCATGTACTCCCAAGTTTGGCATAGCATGGTGGAGATAGCAAAAGGCTGAAGCAAAATAGATGTCTTTGTCTCAGGAAAGAGGAGAGAAGGAGGAATGTTAAGGTCTTTTTCAGCATGGAAGGCAGTCCTGTAGTTTCAGACATCAGAGATATTTCTAAAGGCAGAAAGGGCACATCAAGGCATAATCCCAGCAGCATAGGAATTGTATGTGTGATTTTAGTTTAGGTTTAGATGGAAATTGTTATAAACTTTCATCTTGAAAAAGAGCAAAAAGAAAAAAGCTGAGACACTTTCACAAAACTATAGGCTTTGCACACACTGATATGTGCCTGTGATTGCACAGTGTTCTGTATGTACAGTAATCCCCAGATAGTAGAGAACAATCTAGAATAAAATCAAAATTACATAATCTAATTTATATAAAATCAGTATTAAAGATTTACATTGGTCTATTTAACTATGTACTTTTTTGGTAGTCTTAGAGTGCTATTGAGAGGAAAGCAAAAAATGTCATACCTTTGTCTCAAATAATTGTATTTTATTTTCTCTGGGTACTCAACACATTGCTATATGCTCTTTGTGAAAAAATATCTGTTCTTGCATAGCTATGCAGTGTCTCTTTAGCCAATATGATAGATGGTAACTGGAATTCTAGCTTTGTTCTGGTATCTAAATTTTTGCATTTGTAATATCACATTACATTGTGGAAATTCCTATGCTTATCAGCTCAGAATATTTGGGTTGAAAAGAGCAGTACTGTGGAAAGGAAATTCCAAGTATCACAGCTAAGAACAGTTAGCTCAGTAAAGCATTTGACACCATCCCTACTTTCCTTGACTATACTCTTACCTTGTTTAATATCTAGCATGTTGAGACTACGCTTTCAAGATCTGTGGTGATAAGATTGACTGGAATAGATGCATCATAGTTAACACATATAAAAGATATAAGAAATTTTTAAAAATCTACATTTAATTTTTCTTATTCATGGTTAGTGTCTGTTTAAAATGAGTGTTTATAGATATAAACAATGCATTGAAGTCTTTCTAGACATTGTAGTATGTTCCATATTAATATTTCTTTCGAGTATTATAAATTAGAGTGTTACTTACTGGAAACCTATTTGGAAAGACAGTTTTTCTTAAAATTTAATTAAAATCCTTGAGCACGGGATTATCAAAAAACAATTCTGCTTTTCTGTTCTCCAGTACGTTGAAACATTAATTGCTGGAAATAGCTTTTAGAAGTATTAATTTTACCACATTACAAGAACAAGAATCTAGTTGACTTCCACTTCACAATAGGAAGAAATTCTTTGTGACTTACAAAATTCAAGAATCAGAATAGTTATGTCAGGTCTGATTAGGCCATTGTTAACTACATGTTTCTGTAAAGAGTTTACTTTTCTGCCTTGACTGTTATGTTACTAAAACTTAGTTTGTGAAGACCAAGATGATTGAATAAGTATTTACTGCTTTTTCCCTCTTGTTCTATTTTCTTACTTATTTATCTTATTTTTGTAGTATTATTGCCTCCCCAGATGGATCAAGTGTAATGTACAAAATATAAATATACGTGTGTCTGTATTTCCATGCATGATTATCATGGCTGTTGATGCAAATTGGGGAATTATTTACCTCAATTTCCTGTATGCGCACAAAGTCGAAGTTTGCTTGCAAGATGGTGCTGGTAGTATTTTTGTTCTCTTTCTCCTTTTCTTCTGCCTCTGCCAGTGCTCCTTTTTATTATCTGAAAAATTGTTTATTGATGAAATTGCTAAATTATGCATGATTCTATGGCCTTTTCCTCTCTTTGACCTCCTTATGAATTACCTGCTGATGGGTTGTGAGATAGTGGTACCCTCGTCATGTACAGTGAATCATCAAACTTAAATCAGAATGAGGAGAGGTCAAACCTTTCCCCTGGATCCTTTTGTTTTGATATTCACTGTAGATTTTCTTTAGTTTATTCACTCTTGAGCATCAAACAGAAATAGACACATAAAAGAATTTTATCTTTACATTTAAAACCAGAAAGTACATTTAATCAGTTATGACTCACTACTGATAGAGTGACAATTTAAATAATATGGGCTATTTTAATCTCTTCTGCTTGTAGTTTTTTTGTTGTTGTTGTTGTGGATAGTGTAGATCTAATTTTTTAATCCTTAAAAAATGACTATTTAATAATTCTATGGTTGACTGTGTGGAGTTAATTTTTTAGAGCTTTTCATCTATTACACAGTGCTTAGGAAATGGCTATTGTTCCATTGTATTTCCATCATTTTGCATCACTCTCATTCACAATTTGGAGACCATGTTAGATGCTTTTTAAAGAAAATAGAAAGTGATTGAGAATTTATTTGCACAACAGAACACGTGTCCTGGGTTCAGCAGTAACAGTTTCAAGCTACCTGAAAATTTCAAGCTACATGATCAAAACTTATTGCATTCTTTGAAAAATAATAATTTACTTTTTGTCTTCAGGTCTTTCTTTTAAATTTAATTTCTGGCCTAAGAAAAATTTTATATTTTCTAAAGGTTTTTAAATGTAATTGGAAATGTTTTGTATGATAGTACTTTTCATGTCCTTTTTTTTAAAAAAAAGTTAAATTAATAAAGTGATTAATGACTCTAAGAATCATTGTTCCACTAATAAATTGCAATTGCGTTTTGCAGGCTGCACAGTAGTATGTGAACTGCCCTGTTGGTAGCGACTAAGGTAGTTTTGTGGCATTCTGAATCTTGACCAACCCAGTATAGGACAGGTGTTAAACTCTCAGGTTACTTCCATTGCTGGTAATACATCAAGAAAATTTTTGTACTGGGGATTA